TTAAAATAAAATTGTGTTGTATGAATTAAGTGTGTAATCCTTGTGAAATCGTGCAATCAGCTAACTACTCCCCCAGCCAGTGCATCCAAACGAATCAGTAAATTGTGTGGGATTTTCTCTATTCCATAACCCACTGGAGACAAAAACCAGCTTGCTACAGCAGCATTGCTAGTGAGGCAGCGCGGAGGGAGCCCATGGACGTGGTGGCTTATTCTCATCTCCCTGGTCCCTTCTGAACGCTTCTCCCACAGGTCTTAATGGCCCTCTCCTCTTTGTAAGGGCCTTGACCTTCCACCAGCCAGGCTACCCTCTTCTCTGCCGTCCATTGCTCCTGGCGAGGAAGCTCCTGTTCCACAGCCCTGCATTTTGTTTGTGGCTCACTGCAATGCAGTGATAGTTGGTGTTGCTTCAATCCAGCCCCAGGCCCCTGGCCTATGAGTCAAGCTCCTCGTTTTGTTTTTCACTAGAGAAAAATGTGCAGCGTTTCATCCGGGCTGATGCAGCTCGCCATCTGCACCTCCCCTTCAGCATCCTAGATCCACCTGTGCCTCTGCCCTGCCCGATGCTGGCCACCTGGGTGAGGAGCAGTCCCAGGACAAAGCCCCGTGGCTTGGACAAGGTCCCTTAGCTCAGACCTTCTCCAGAGCCCATGCACGCGGGGAGGAGGTGTTTTAGCTCCTTATCATCCCCCCGATCCATCCCTTCTGAATATTTCATACCAGGGGTGTTAACAACCCTCTCTTCTTTGTCATGGTTTTGACCTTCGCCCCATCAAGCCATCCTCTGGGCACCCTGACACGGGAGAACCGGCGCCTGGAGAACATGGAAAACCTTCTGCAGAACAGCAACTTCTGGATCCTGCGGCTGCCACCAGGCACTAAGGGGGAGATCCCCCAGGTAAGGACCCCCAAGGGCTAGGATCCTGGGTAGATGCAGACTGAATGTGTTTTTCACATCCTTTAGGCCTGTCTTTCACCATTTGCATTCAGGGAGCGTGATCGTATTGACCTCGAGGCTCTGAGAAGTTGGCAGCACCTAATTTGTTTTGCCTTTTCTAGAGAGCAGGTAGGACGGGGGAGCCTGCAGCTCTGGCTCTGCATGGCTTGTGTGGCAGGCTGGGGACCGGCAGGGTGTGAGCTCAACCTGGGTGTGTGGCCCAGAGCTTCCCATCCGGAAAGGGCAGTCCTTGTGGGTTTGGGAGGTCTTTAGCAAGGTGGGGGGAGCAGGAAGCCACGCTGGAGGGTAGGGCTAGGGTTCAGAGAGACCCTGACAAATCGGAGGATTGGGCCAAAAGAAATCTCACGAGGTTCAGCAAGGAGGCTCTGCTGTCCCTGCTCCTGGGGAGGAAGCTGCCATTTCAGGGTCTCTAACTGGTTGCAGTGCACCCCAGACCCCCCAGGCCTGCCCTGCCCACGCGGAGGAGCAGTCCTAGCGCAAAGCCCTGTGGCTTGGACAAGGTCCCTTAGCTCAGAGTCATATCCGGGCGCTCCCCTTCATTTCTATCACTTGATATCACAGACTTATAGAAAATGCGAGGACCTCGGGAGGTCACATCCAGTCCAGCCCCTGCTCCAAGCAGACCAGCCCTGACTACATCATCCCAGCCAAGGCTTTGTCTAGCCGGGTCTTCAAAACTCCCAAGGATGGAGACTGCACCTCCTCTCTGGGTGACCTGTTCCAGTGCTTTACCCCGCCTAGTGAGAAAGTCCTTCCTCATCTCCAACCTGCACCCCGCTTGCTGCAATTTGCCGCCCTGCAGATGATCCCTGCGATTGCCCTGCAGATTTATCCTAGTCTCCGCGCAGACAGCCCATGCCCAGCTGGGTCCAGGCAGGCAGGAGCTGCGGTTCTCCCTCCGCCCGGCGCTGGCCGCTGTGGGCAGGGCGCGGAGAGCAGGCATGGCCGCGCAGGTAAGCGGAGCATCCCCGGGCTGCAGCTGGGCATCACCCCTGGCCAGCCCTGCCGCTCCTGCGGCTGCCCCGCGCCTGGGGAAGGGCACTGTGCCCGGCCCTGCCCTTGACCTTGGCTTGCTCTCCTCCTTGCCAGGCTCCCGGTGGAGCAGCGTGCCCGCAGGTGGCCCAGATGTCCCTGTGGACCGTGGTGGCGGCGGTCCAAGCCCTGGAGAGGAAGGTGGACTCTGAGGCCACCCGGCTGCTGGGCCTGGAGGGGCGCTCGGGGCTGGCGGAGAAGAAGCTGAGGGTCTGCGAGCAAAGGGTGCTGGAGCTGGGCGGGCAGCTGGAGGGGAAGTGGGGCGCGCTGGGCACCCTGATCCAGGAGTACGGGTCGTTGCAGCAGCGCCTGGAGAACATGGAAAACCTGCTGAAGAACAGGAACTTCTGGATCCTGCGCCTGCCGCCAGGCACCAAGGGGGAGATCCCACAGGTAAGGACCCCCAGCCCGTGCCCTGGGTTGTTTTTTCACACCCTTCTGGCATGTGGGGCTCTTGTCTTTCACCATTTGCAACCAGGGAGCGCGATCGTATTGAGCTCTGAGAAGTCCAGGCAGGACCTAGCTTGTTCTGTCTTTTCTAGAGAGCAGGTAGGACGGGGGAGCCTGCAGCTCTGGCTCTGCGTGGCTTGTGTGGCAGGCTGGGGACCGGCAGGGTGTGAGCTCAACCTGGGTGTGTGGCCCAGAGCTTCCCATCCGGAAAGGGCAGTCCTTGTGGGTTTGGGAGGTCTTTAGCAAGGTGGGGGGAGCAGGAAGCCACGCTGGAGGGTAGGGCTAGGGTTCAGAGAGACCCTGACAAATCGGAGGATTGGGCCAAAAGAAATCTCATGAGGTTCAATATGGACAAGTGTAAAGTCCTTCTCTTGGGACAAAACAATCCCCTGCACCGGGGCAGGCTGGGGGTGACGGCCGTGAAGTGACGGACCGGGGGGGAAAAGAAGATGGACAGGAGCCAGCAGCGTGCCCTTGGTGCCAAGATGGCGCCCGGCATCCTGGGCTGCATTGGCAGGTGCTTTGCCGGCAGATCAAGGGCCATGATTCTTCCCCTCTATTCAGCACTGGGGAGGCCACATCTGGAGTCCTGTGTCCAGCTGTGGGCCCCACTACAGAAAGGATGTGGACAAGTTGGAGAGAGTTCAGCGGAGGACAAAGAAAATGGCTGGGGGACAGGACTGATGAGGAGAGGCTGAGGGAACTGGGCTGGGTTAGTCTGGAGAAGAGAAGACCAAGGGGGATTGAATAGCAGCCTTCACCTCCCTGCAGGGGGGCTGCAAAGAGGATGGAGCTGGGCTGGTCTCAGTGGGGGCAGATGACAGGACAAGGAACAATGGGCTCAAGCTGCAGCAAGGGAAGTTGAGGTTGGATATTAGGAAAAATGTTGTCACTGGGAGGGTGGTGAAACACTGGAACAGGCTCCCCAGAGAGGTGGTGGAGTCTCTATCCTTGGAGATTTTGAAGACCCGGGTAGACAAAGCCTTGTCTGGGATGCTGTAATTGGGGCTGGTCCTGCTTGGAGCAGGGGGCTGGACTAGATGTGACCTCCTGAGCTCCCTTCAACCCTCATTTTCTACGATCCTGTTGCCAGGGCTGCCACAGACTTGCTGCTCTTCCCCCGCAAGGCTGGACCTAGAAAAATAATGCTACAAACGTGTGCCATGGATCCAACTTCTACCACTGCCTTTTAGTGCAGCACCGAGAGCGGGCACCTTGTGCCCGGTCCACCAAGGTGTTTTCGGCAGGTGGGTGCTCAGATTCTCTCCAGAGACATCCGTCTCCTTGGTGAACGGGGCCTTGGCTTCATATCCGTTCCAAGTTTCTGACATGCCTTTTGCTCTCAAGGGCACATGATAAGATCCGTTCCCTGCCAGGAGGATTTGGGGATGTTGAAGTCAGGGGAAAGACTCCAACCTGTTTCAGCGGGCTTTGGCTCTGGCCCTTATCTCAGAAGCTGCTTCTTGTAACCCTCGCGCTTGCAGGTGCCGGTGACGTTTGACGACGTGTCTGTCTACTTCAGCGAGCAGGAGTGGGAGAGCCTGGCCGCCTGGCAGAAGGAGCTGTACAAGCACGTGATGAGGGGCAACTATGAGACCCTGGTCTCGCTGGGTGAGCATCGGTTTTGACTGTCTGATTTGAAACTCTGTCTCTGCAGTTCCCGGTCTGACTACTTGCTAGCTCCTAACGCATTTCCGAAGCATTTATAGCAGACAGCTCGCACCTGTCGTTAAAACTAAAAGCCATGTGCACTGATCTGATCTGTTGCCTGCTCGCTGCAGAAGTGATTGTAGTCACGGGAGCGTCTCACATTAATGCCTTGATTTCAGGAGCTCTGGGAGAAAGTAAAGCACACCAAGGCTCAAATACTTGAGGCTTGTTCTAAGAGCAAAAGATCATGTTTAAAAAGCCAGTGAAGGTCCTGTTTGACTCTCACAGGACTGTCGTGTAATAAAGCTGGGGCTTTTTTGGTCATAAAAGCTTTGCTTAACCATCTGATAATGGCTAGGATGCTGGTGTGTGGAGCCGCCTCCCTAGCACGCTGGTGGAGGCTGTCTTAGTGGTCTTCCACCTGCCTGCATATGCCTCTTGTTTCTTATACTTGGACAGCAAGCTCTGTTTGGATAAAAATGGTGGTCTACCTTTGAGTTTGTACAGAGGGGAGTCTGATCCCCTGTTATAATACGCACGTTCTAAGCTGTTTGCTGGATCGAACCTTTGTGCACCTTTAAAACGTTTCTGATCGCTCCAAATAGCACTGTTCAAGTTTGCCCTAGATTAGGCTCTCAGTGGGGACAGTGGAATTGGTGCAGAAATGATGCTCCTGTCACTGAATGTGTCCCTCCCACTTCTGCATCCTGACAACGGGGTGCTTTCAGCTTCACCCCGTTACACCCTGGAGCAAGGATTCCTAGATGTGCTTGCTGGGCCTTTGTGTTTCCTAACAGACCACTTAGTTCTGATTCCTGGTTTCTATGGTTTGTATTCAAGGTACCACTAAGAGGCCTGCCCTGAGATCAGGCCTCTGCTGTGTGAACACATAATGAGGCAGTCCTGGCTCTGCTGAGTTTGCCGTGTTTGCACACAGGCTGATTAACTTCCTTTGCAGACAATCAAACTGGAAGGTTGTGCTGACAACGTGCTGCTACCTGTGTATTGTGCAGCCAGTTAAATTGTATGCCAAGTTGGGGCTATCACTCATGTTCATAGATTCATAGAAAATGAGGGCTGAAGGGACCCCAGGAGCTCACATCTAGTCCAGCCCCCTGCTCCAAGCAGGACCGGCCCCAACTCCATCATCCCAGCCAGGGCTTGGTCTAAAAACCTCCAGTATACTCACATTGTGAGTATATTGCTAATGCTCAGCAAATTCTGTAATTTGACTGTATTTCCAGAAGCCTGTGAGGCAGCCACACAGGAACCAAAGTGCGAATGAGCTTTTGAACTGGCTAGTGGCACAACCCCCCGCTGCGGTCAACACCCCTCCCCGCGGTGCGAGGTAGCAGCGCATGAAACGCCTGCATGTGTGGTGTGTGGTGCTGTAGACAGGTCTGCGGTGCCACGCGCTGCATGTCCATGCTCATCTGGACACGGCATAAGGGTGTTTATAGACATGCGCCAGGCAGAGGGGAGGGGTGCACTTTAATTAGCGTGTCTCTCGAAGCCACGCTAATTGAAGTGCCTAGAGTATCACATGTATCTGCGTCCCGTGCTGAAAAATGGCCGTGGGGGCACTTTAACTAACGCTCATTTGACAAACTTTAGTAAAAGCACCCCTGCCACCATTTTTCAGCACGGGACGCTGATGTACATGACGCTGCAGTCTGCTGGAGTGTGGTAATTACCGTGCTCCAGGAATTACAGTACACTACTGGAGCAGCTCCAGTGTACCGTACAGTAATCAGTGCCGTAGCAATGAAGTTTGGTGCCCGGGGCAAAGCCCGCAGTGGCAGCCCGCCTTTGCCCATGCCCTGTGCACAGATCTAGGGGCACATGCCCCCCCATGCTTGCTGGGGAGTGCACACAGTGGTGGGAGCCGCCCTTCCTCTGTCCCCGGGTCTCCCCAAATGAGCCTCTCGCGGCTCTGTCCTGCGCCTGTCTCTGCTGGGCAGTGCCTGTTGGCACCTCTTTGCTTCGGTGCCTGGGGCAGTCGCCCTGCTCGCCCCCTTGTGATGGCACTGACAGCAACCGCTGTGATTACAGCGTGCTGGAGCAGCTTCCCTGCACGTGTAAAGGAGCCCTACGAGTCCAGGTGGGAAGGTTTCAGACTCATGGGAGCAGGAGCGTTCCCCGAATGTAAAGTGTCGTCTAATGGACTTGTTTTAAGGAAGGGTCGGATGGAGCTGGTTCTCAGGTCCTGTCCTTATCCTAAACTGTACACGTCAGATCCTCCAGTGCGCGTGTTGGAGCAGGCTTGGGAAACGAGCTGGTTTGTTTCCAGCGCACACTGTGACTCCAGGGGGGGAGTGGGGGAAGCAGACCTGGGGGAGAAGACTGCAGTCTGGTATTTTTTCTTTCTTGCCTACCCCTCTGGGGTGTTTTGTCAGTGTTTGGTACCGACATCCATCCCTGCGTGGCTGTCTGAGCCGCATCCTTTGCCATTGAGGAGGCTGAACGGAGAAGAGATGAGTGTGGCAGGCAACTGGCTGCTTAGCTGGCCAGTAACCCATCGATCTCCTTCCCTAAGCATCCCCGGTCCAGTAGGCCGGATGTTTTAGAGGGGAATAAGAGCACACAGGACCGGATCCAGACCTGATCCAGAGCCCTTGGAAGTCCGTGGAAAGACTCCCGGCGACTCCTGCTCCGCGGTGCAGTGACGTGGCCAAGGTTACCAGGGAGTCGGTGGCAGAGACAGGAAATGAGCACGGCTCCGCCCAGCCCCAGCCCAGAGCCTTTGCCCTGAGACCACCTTCACTTCCTTAAAGGGCCAGACCTCCTTTTTAGGAAAAAACGTTTGCATATTTTAAATCTCACCCCCATCCCCGTGGCTAGATTTGGGTTGTCGGCAATGATGCCGAGCGCTTCACCTGGACAGAGTCTGTCTGGGAGGCTAGGACAGTTCATAGGGGTGTATCTGAGCCACTGCGCACATCTGCTTCATTCCTCTTTGGGGCCAGCCAGCTCTCCCTCGGGAGCACCCAGCTTCCCTCCAGGCCCGCATCATGTCTGCACGATCTGTATTGGCACCTGGCCTGCTGTGTGGGGCGAACGGGACAGCCGGTTTCACCCGATGGAGCGTGATTTTTTCTGTGAGTGCTGACAGGATGTTATGTCCCCTTTGCATCTCCTACCCTGAGCAGACTACGCCATTTCCAAGCCGGACATCCTGTCCCGCCTCGAGCGAGGTGAAGAGCCGTGCATCCGGGACCAGCTGGCAGCGTGGGATGGACCAGAGAAAGGAAGCCAGGAGAAGGAAGGATGGGTGGCAGGTGGGACCCATGCAGTCCCCGGCACAGGTGTGTTTTATCAGCTATCTTGCTGCTGTGAGCGCTCGAGTCTGCAGGGGCTGGGACGGCAGCATCCAGCAAGGTGAAGTTGCTGCATCAGCAGGGCTCTTGTCTCTCTGCTTCCACCCAAGACATGGGGTGCCAGGGGCATGCCTGGTGTTTCCTTGCAGCTGTGGGTGGGGATCGGGGGATGCCCGGCCCTTCCTTCTGCAGCCCTGTCCCTCCCTGCTCGCTCCTGCGTGCGCAGGGAGGAGGGCTGGTGCTGACATCTCTGGGCTGGCCCTTTTGTGCTCTCAGGCACCTGCAGGGACGTAAGAAGAGTAGACCAGTCTCAGCGGCAAACATTGTCTTGCCCTTAGGCTGGGCTCGGCCTTGGAGGAGCCGTGTGCCGCTATGAGGGGCTCTACGTTAGCTGTTACCGCACAGGAAAGAGATCCTGGAGTCATTGTGGACCGTTCACCAAAAACATTGGCTCAGTGCTCGGTAGCTGTCCAAAGGGCAAACAAAATGGTAGGGACGATGAAGAAGGGAATTATAACCCCCCCACAAGAAAGTATCATGATGCCCCTTGATAAATTCATGGCGTGTCCACACTTTGAACACTGTGCCCAGGTCTGGTCCCTGCACCTCCAAAAGGAGAGAGAAGAACTGGAGCGGTCCAGAGCAGGGCAGCGAGGACGATGAGGGCTATGGAGATGCTTCTGCATGAGGGGAGGCTAACGAGGCCAGGCCCGTTCAGGTTAAAAAAGAGACACTTGTGGGGGGGCAGGAGAAGGGTTTATAAAATACTAAATGCTGAAGAGAAAGTCAATAGGGATGTGCTATTTACTGTCTCTCACAGTGCAAGAATGAGGGGTCACAAAATGAAGGTTGTAGGGAGTAAGTTTAAAACTAACCCCAGGATATTATTTTTGGCACTGACGAGTGGGACTTACTGCTGCAGGATGTCGTGCAAGCTGTGTGACTGGCCTATTTGACATGCCCTGATGTCACGGGCCTCAGCCCAGCACGGAGTAACTATAAGCCCCTCTTAAGAAGGGAGGCCGCTAGAGACATACCAAATAACTGCTTAGGACAACAGAAAAGAAAAGAGGAATGGGAGTGGGGTGACACAAGAGACTGAGACGGATACACCTATGATCTGACCCGGTCCATGGCAGTTCTTTGGTTCCTCTTATGTTTGTAGGGGCAAGCGGGCCCCGAGGCACTTGTGTTTTCTCTCTCCCCTGGGAAAAGCGATCCAGCATCGCCAGCTCTGCCTTGCTGACGGTCTCTGTTCTTCCCTCTGTTCGGGCTGGGTATGCAGTGAGTCTGAAAGCAGCATTCACCCCCTCCCCGCTTTCTCTGCCAGTAGGAAATGCCGTTTCCAAGCCTGACGTCCTCCCCCGGGCTGCTGGAGCAGAGGAGCTGCATGTCAGGGACCGGGGAGGTGCAGAGCGAGAGACCCCTGCAGAGCCCAGCACGGGTGAGCGGCGGCTTACAACCTGGAACGGCTGCGGGAGGCGAGATGCCCTCGGCCCGGCGCTGTCCGACGGCCTGTCGCGATGCGCTTTGTCTGTGCTCGCAGTGTAGCCCACGTGCTCCTCTCACCCCGCAGTCTTCTGCTCTAGCAAGGGCAGTAGCGGCCAGTGTTTGTCCCACTAACTTGCTTCTGTTTGCAATGAACAGCGTCTCCTGTTCCCACGTCGGACGCTTTAACCTGGATCAAACGGGAGGCAGCGCCGGGTGCAGGTCTGCGGGATGCAGAGGAGAGAGGAATCCCGCCAGGCCCCGGAGCAGGTAAGCAGGTGATCCTACAGAGATTTGGGGCTTTGGAGGGGAGCAAGGCCCCGTCCGTATCCTGAGAGACTGGGGCTCTTTGGAGGCAGCGAGTGGGACGGGTTGCTGTGAGCTGCCCCAGCCGCGGCTTGTCCTCGCTGTCCTAAAGGATGGTGGTTCGCGGGGCAGCAACCAGGAGTCACACCAGCGTCTGCTCCGCTCAGCTCCGGATGGACTTGCAACCACAGACAGACAGCCCCCGTCCCAAGGAGCTCGTAGCCTAATGCCCGGGTCCTCCCTCTTCTTCCAGAGCCATGGGGCGGCTGCTTTTGTCTGAGCGTTTGGGTGGGATACAGAAAAGCTACTGCCTGCCCCTCTT